TACTTCACCTACAATTGACATTGATTCTCAACATGCATGTTAAATTATGTAATGGGAAGTAGGAGAATCCAAGCAGCGGTTCTCGGTGAGAGTTGCTCTAATGGAATCGAGCTACAACCTTTGAAAATTGAGGTAAAATTAGCTTAGTTTATTTGTAATCTGTTGCTAGTAATGTCTTCACCCCAGCATGGGCAATTGGATATGAATTTAAACTTGCTCAAATTTGGGATTGAAGAAAATAATTTTGTGATGTTTGTTGCAGACTCGGGGTTGAATGCTGTCGGTGATGGTGATGGTGATAATGCTCAAGGCACATCAAAAGTTAGGAATGGGCGAGAGCAATTGGGCACCAAATTTGCTACTTTTCTTCGAGTCAAGGAGTCTACAAGGCAACGGAAGCGGAAGCGGAAGCGGAGGGAAATTACTGCTCAAGGCGGCACCTATGAAACGCAGGTCGAGAGGGAAATTACTACTTCCGTAGAAGTCCAAGAGTGTAGGCACCGGGTCAAAGAGTATAGGCAGCATCTTGGATTAAATCTGGGTTCAAAATCTGGGTCTCTGACCTCTGTGATTTTCTATTATTCACCCCAGCATTCGAATAATGTTATTCCTACGTTTTTAAGATTACAGAGACAGAAAGAACATGGCTAACAGAGACACAAAGAGGGAAGAGAGAGAAGGCTAAAAAGAAAGAGTGGTTAGACACTTTTATCCCTACATTTAACCGAGGTTTATCAGAAATCTCATATTTAAGTTAAATTCGCTAATAACCTTCACCACAAAAGTTTAAATCTTAATTTTTTTTATCACAGGAACCATTTTTCGAATACCTTATCACCATGACAGAGACCATAAATCCAATTTGGCCTCAAACTTTTTATGGCAAAGTTCATGGGAGCAGCAAAATCCATTTAACCCCCTCTCTCCCTCTCTCTCCTCCCCAATGGATGCTTCTTCTGCACCAACCATGGCGCTGAGAGTCTTCTCCACCTCGTGTTCCTCCTCCTCATCGTCCTCCGCTTCTTTCAAGCCCAATAAGTCACTCCCTTTCAAGTTCCCCACTTTCCGGCCTCCTCCCCAGCCCACCCTCTTCAAATCCCTCAAATGCATCCAAACGCCGCCGTCTTCCAATCCCAACCCATTAAAGCATCCGCCGCCGCCTCCCCAAAACTCTAGCTCCGCCTCCCCCTTCTCCTGCTCCGCCCTCACCCTCTCACCGTCAAGACAGACGACTTGTCGTCGCTCAATGTGGGATTGCCGGGCGCGCAGAGGTCTAGGGTTAACACGTGGCATAATGTGCAGGTCAGTATGCAGAAAAAGACTAAGGCTTTGGTCGCCCAGCGGCAGGGTACGCCGCCGCTCGAGCCTTTCCCGTCGCTCGTCGTCACCGCCGATGGGTTTCGGGCAAAGGGCAGCTTCGCTGAGGCCCAGGTTAGCTAATGGATTGTGTTCTTGGTTTATTTGTATGATTATATTGCGTAGAGCGCGTAAGTACTATTAGAAGTGCTTTTCTTAGAATAAAGTGCATTGCGAAGTGCTTATCCAGGTGCTTATCCGAAAATGCTTTTATGACCCAGTACCATTTATGTTTTGCTAAATGTAGTTAGAAGTGCTTTTGTTTGTTATAAATTTGCGAAGTGCTTATCCAGGTGCTTATCCGAAAATGCTTTTATGACCCAGTACCATTTATGTTTTGCTAAATGTAGTTAGAAGTGCTTTTGTTTGTCATAAATCACTTTTAGCCATTCAATAGCAGTTCCAAAGTTGTCGTTATCATTTGTATTAGATTAGTGGATGTATTATTATTTTTTAATTGTAACCTAGGTTGGAACTGCATATTAAATTGCAGGCGAGGTGCTTGTTTCCCGATGAATCGAAGGTTGAGGAACTTGTTAATGTGTTGAAGGAAAAGAAAATTGGGGTTGTTGCACATTTTTGCATGGACCCAGAGTTTCAAGGTATTTTAACTGCTGCACAGAAACACTGGCCTCACATCCATATATCTGATTCATTGGTCATGGCGGATTCCGCTATGACTCTGGCGAAAGCTGGTTGCGAATACATTACAGTCTTGGGTGTTGATTTTATGTCGGAAAATGTCCGGGCTGTACTTGATCAGGCTGGCTTTGAAAAGGTAGCTCCTTTGCTTCTATTCCTGTATTAGTAAGAAATGTAAAACATGTACTTTACTTATTATGTTGGTTTGGCTCCGCTATTTACGATGTAATGTGCCTTAATTATAGTAAAGTTTACTGGATCTTGGTTTGGTGCCGCATACCGGTGAAACAGTTGATGAATATTATTCATTTCATATACTTTGATTGCAGGTTGGTGTGTACAGGATGTCAAACGAACGTCTTGGTTGTTCGTTGGCAGATGCTGCATCTAGTCCTTCGTACATGAGCTATCTTGAGGCAGCTTCTAGGTCTCCACATTCGTTGCATGTTGTCTACATTAATACTTCTCTAGAAACAAAAGCAACATGTAATTGCTCGCTCCAGTGCAGAGGCTGAATATCGAACCATGGCAGCCACTGCCTGTGAACTTATTTGGCTTAAAGAGCTTCTTTTAGACTTAGGCTTGCCTATTACTACTCCCCTGTCTCTTATGTGTGACAATCAAGCAGCCATGCACATCGCTGCTAATCCAGTGTTCCATGAGAGAATGAAACATATTGAAGTGGACTGTCATTTCGTTAGAGCTCAAGTGCAAACTCAAGTCATTAGGACCATCTTCACGCGAAGCCAAGATCACTTGGTAGATCTTTTCACCAAGGCTCTAGCATCTGCTCCATTCCATTGTTTTTTCGGCAAGCTTGGCTCAATTAATCTCCTCGATCCAGCTTGAGGGGGACTGTTGTTGAAGTGTTCTTTCGCGGCCTCTAGAGTCAGTTACCAAGGGTGATCTCTAGGGTAAATCTCTAGGGTAAGGCTCAATGTATTATTGTAAATCAGTTTTCTCTTGAATTAAGGGAGGTGACTGATTGGTGTTAAAGTCTTTGTGTATGGTTTAGATTACGTAGGCACCATGCCTTCTTCCTTCTTGCCGGCTGCTTGCAGCAGCTATCTCTCCCATCTCTCATTCCTCTCTTCTCTTATATAGCCGGTCTCTTGTACATTGAACATTTATTATGAAATACACATGGAAGCTTTGAACCAAAATTACCACAAAGAGACACTAAAACTAATTACACGCATTCTCAAAGCGGATTAGGAAATCTAAAATATGTATTATTATAAAACACTATGTATCTGTTACAATATCTACGAAGTCACATTACAATGTCTCGTTGAGGATCACAACATTGTAAAGTGCATAATTGCTAATGCAAATTCAGGTGAAACAGAAACAACGAACACAATTAATTAAAAGCATATATAAGTATGACGGATCTCGATGGAGGGATCGATCAAGGGTTGTATGGGATTGGGATAAGGTTGAGAGGAGCCTTCTTATGGACTGAGAGTCCGTAAACTTCATCGGTGTCCATGGTCTCGGCCAATGCTTTACCACCACTAGGCAATTTCCAATCAAACCAATATAGAAGGTTGGAAAGCACATATTCAGCTGAAGCAACCGCAAAGCCGACTCCAGGGCACACTCTTCTCCCGGCACCGAACGGGATGAGTTCAAACTCCTGACCTACGAAACCAACGGACTTTTCCTCGAACCTCTCCGGGTAAAATTCATCGGGCTTGTCCCAGACTTTGGGGTCCTTTTGTACCGAGTATGCGCTGACAAACACTTGTGTTTTCGCAGGGATATTGTAACCTCCCAATTTCACATCTGTTCTTGTTTCACGGGGAAGTAAAAGAGGTCCCGGAGGATGAACTCTCATATTTTCTTTGATGCAACATATCATGTAGGTCATTTGGGGGATGTCAACATTCTCATCTACAAATCCTTTTTTGCCCACCACTCTTCTTACCTCTTCTTGGGCTTTCTTCATCACACGCGGATTTTTCGCAAGCTCTGTCATCAACCATATCATGGCAGTCCAACTAGAATCACTTCCTCCGACAAACATGTCCTGAAATAGTAAATTAAGAAGCCAAATCAATCTTCAGCCATAAATATATATATCAATTTTATTGTTAAAGAGAGTAAGTTATGGAGGGGGATATATACAGACCAGTAGAAGTGCTTTGAGGTGGTCACTTTTGAGCTCAAAGTCATTGCCATCCTTTTGAACTTGGAGGAGAGTATCCACGAAATCCTTCTTGCGAGGCTTGCCTTCTTTCTCTGCCTCCTTATGTTCGGCAATCAACTTATCGAAAAACTTATCAAATTCGGACCAAATTGATGTCAAATGTTTAATGTGGCCTCTAGCATGGTCGAGCCAACTCATCCTCGGACCAAAGTAATCCGTAAAACTGAAACTCGTGAGTTGGCAGATCAAACCTTTCGTCAGATCAACGAACCACTTGTTCTCTTCGCCCTCAAACTTTTGTCCGAGAATACACCTGCAGATGATGTTGTTGGAGGTTGCCACCAGCAGATCACTCAGAACAATAGGACCCCCGCCATTGAGACTCGACGCTTTGCGAATCTTTCCGACCAACTCGGAAACTTCTTCCACCCTTGCGTACTGAAACTGTGACACCTTCTTAAGATTGAGAAGCTCAAGAACACAGATTTTCCGAACTTGCCTCCAGTACTCCCCGTAAGGAGCAAACCCCACATCATGAGCGTCATAGAACAATATTCCTGGAGCAGTGGCTTTCGGCCGGCTGCAGAAAGCAATGTCCTGCGTCTTCATCACCTCCTTGGCCATCTCTGCAGACGAAACAATCAGAGTCGGAACTTTCCCGAAATGCACTAGCATTAAATCGCCATACTTTTTCGAGAGAGCATGGAGAGAAAGGTGCGGGAATGTGCCTAATTGGTGAAGGTTTCCGATCAATGGCAACCTTGGCGGGGAAGGTGGTAACTTGAGTTTGCGTTTCTCATCGCCATTGGACGATGATCTAGTAAACGAAAAGAGAATGAACGCAGAAAGGACGAGAAGAGGAAGAAGAAAGACAATCTTCTGCAGCTGCTCAAACACAAGTGCTAGAAGAGCCATTGCTGTTCTAGCTCTTGTTGCTGGCTTTGTCTGGACACTTGGAATTCTGGGTTTTGCTGGGTTTATATAGGACACAAATCTCTAGAATTTCCAGGTCAAATCAAGGGTTTTTTCTAACATCCTTGCAAAAGGTTAAAATTTAAAAAATCTGGTGCTAAATTATATATTCAATTTAATCTACTTTTATCAAAATTTATATTCAATTTTTATTATTTAATGTGTATTTTTATTTAATTTCTCCACATTAAATTTTAATTTTATTAATATGCACATATTTAGTTCTTTAATTATAAATGAACATAAATGAGAAAATATTAAAAGAAATTTATGATACAAAATATATAAATACATAAGTGTACAAAAATGAATATGCCAAAATACATAAAATTGACTTTTTTTGTGCCGAAATATTTGTACCTACATGATTGTACCGAAATATATTATAATGAACTTAAATGTATGTACCAAAATGTATTATATGGGTTGTTTAGATATAGGTCTATACAACTTGTAATTTTTAGTTTAAAACCCACCTATCTTTAAACATCCAATATAAACCTAAAATTTAAATATGTCACCACATGAGAAATTAAATGACCTATTACTTCAGATAATTTACAACATATACCACAATCCTTCTAACGTTTTCTCACACACAACCCTCCAATTTTGGCTTCAATCATGCCCACATAACATGGGCATTAAATTCTAATTACTCCTCTTGACGTTTTTTAGCCACTTATAATTATATGTATTTAAAATAAAGTAATATTTTTATATTTTGTAGGTAAACCATTATATATACATTCATACATACATATATATATATATATATATATATATATATATATATATTCGTCACATTATTACTATGGTGTGTAATTTGCATGTATTAGTACATATGTTAGCCTTGGATAAAAAAAATGTACATATGTTAGGCACATTTTATTGTTACCATATGTATGTTTGTGTAAAGTAATTTACCCATATCTATATGCAAAATATGTGACATCCCACATTGCCCAAGAGATTGATCCTTATATGTATATTCTCATCCCTACCTAGCAAGAGGCATTTTGGGAGCTCATTGGCTTCGGAGTTCCCATGGAACCCCGAAGTTAAGTGAGTAGCGCACAAGAGCACTCCCATGATGGGTGACCCACTGGGAAGTTCTCGTGTGAGTTCCCAGAAACAAAACCGTGAGGGTGTGCTGGGGGCCCAAAACGGACAATATCGTGCTACGGTGGAGTCGGGCCCGAGAAGTGGTCCTGCCCGGGCCGGGATGTGACAATTTGGTATCAGAGCCTAACCATGGCCGTGGTGTGCCGACGAGGACGTCGGACCCCTAAGGGGGGTAGATTGTGACATCCCACATCGCCCAGGGGAGTGATCCCCTGGCCGGGATGTGATCCCCAAGCCGGGATGTGACAAAATATATATAGGAAATTAGTTTTGAATAAAATAACATTTCTATATGTTGTAGATAAATTATTTTCATGTATTAATATATAAGGCACATTTTATTATTATATATGTCCATGTAAAATAATTTGGCTATATTTCTATGTAAAATATTATTATTATATATGTGTGTAAAATAATTTACCTATATTTATATGTAAAATAACTTTGAGGCAAATAACATTTCTTTATATTGTAGGTAAATTATTCTCCATATATTAGCACAACTATTAGGCACGTTTATTGATACCCCACATATTTGTTAAATTACATCATATATATTGTCATCGAATCATAGTACAGATATTAATGCTTATTTCTCTTTTTAAGAATCATTAATCCACCTTTTAATCCATATACAATTAATTGTATAGGTCAAAAATGTAATTAAGGGTATATTAGGCATTCAAAAAATGTGCAATGGTATAGTCAAACATAGTTAATGAATTTGCTTGTGTGGAGCCTAGTAAATGGGTTTTAATTAAGTAAAAAAATTATGTCGGGTTTTATGTAACGAAAATTAAGTTTTAGGAGCTAAAGTCATATTTTCAGTTAATTAATTTGTATGTAAAATGTCCATCCAATTTTCTATTTTATTAAAGCGTTAGGATCGAAGGTCAAATTTTTTATAAATACGTTTACACTTCTTTTTAATCTTTAAATCTATCCACATTCTACTGTCATAAATAAGAGTAAAGATGACTACTAATACCAAGATTGCCAACTCATTATTATTAAATAAAGTGCATGCATGGAAATAAAAATAAATTTCAACTAATAATTTTTTTTTTTAGAATATAATATTATGTTAAAAGCTAAACACCTTCACCACTTATACGTACAGTCATCAGATATTCTTAAGTGATTGAAGGTGATAAGTTTAAATGAATAACGAGTTTATTATCATTTTTTTTAAAATATAAGATAAATATAACATTGTTAAAAATAAAAAAAATAAAAACAAAAAATAAAAA